TGGGGGAACCATATTAATTACTATATATACCCATTATGGTAATTTTTTTAAGTTCTTTAACAGCAACCTAGTCTAAGGCTGGAACTATGGGCCTTAATCTTGGGAGTCCTTTTAAAACTATACCCTACAACCCAGTTAAGGGCCCATCGTTAGGACCTAGCAAACAGCCCATGGCTAGAACCCTTCAAATCCGCGCGTTGAAGCCCTAAATCCCAAACAAGAAGGCCAAACACAAACATCCGAAAAGTTACCATTCATTATCGGGATCTTCAAGATCAGCCCCATAGGCACCCATAATCCCCGGGCCTTACCCTAAACTCCAATACTTCGCTTCATTGGTGCTCAAGGGAGGGTGGGGGAGTGTGCCTGATAATGACCCTACCCTAGCTACCCTATGTTAATATAGATAGCTCCCATTTCTTTTCCATTATCCCTATGCAACCCCAATATAACCCTACACCCTACTGGGGCATTATCATAGTTTCTGTAGTCACTTTCACTTTATCACCTAGAAGTTTTGACAGCTCTCAGGAGGCTGAGCGTGACTCGCAAAAGAAAGAGGTGGCCGAGATTCGCCAGCAGCAGGTGCCGCATCTGACAGCCACACGGTGTAGGGCCTCGGGCTGAGGATGTGGGGCTTAGGACTAGGAACTAGCTTGACGGATTGGGGTCTCAGATTTTGGGCCAGGAGCTAGGTTTAGGGATGGGATCTTAGGGCTGGGGAGTAGGATTTAGGCATTTGGGGTATAGTTTTGTCCTCCTTGGACTAGAATCAAATTCCACCCCAGACCCCAGATGCCAGACAATCTTGCTTTTTTGCGGAGAAGTCTTTGTCCAGCGAGCGTGAGCAGCTCTCCAAAGGCGACTGTCCTTCTTTCAAAGGGACTGCTTATCAGCGTTTTCATGTTAGTTCGGGTGGCAGCGCAATGGTTGCAGTTGCAGCCTTCTTATATCACTTGGTTCAACTCCCCCATGTCTCTCCCAAGATGCCCACGCTTTCCTGCAACATTGCTGGCCCAAAGCTGGCAGTGTCACCCTCGTTCAGAGATATCACTCAGTTGCCATGCTGTATAAGTTAAGCGCGTAGCGAAAGACAGCATCTCTGTGCGTGACATGCAACCACCAATGACCATGGTCAGCCATTGTCCAAGCCACAATCCATATGAGGTATCGTCCACTTGAGGTCACTGTGAAACAGTGAATCGCAACTTGGGTACTTGACCCTTGCCATGGCGCTCGGACATGAGCAGGCTGCGCCGCTGGGTGAGACGCATAGGAACCACTGGCGATCATTTGATCTTCGCGCAGTCACTCCAGGGCTGCCAACAGTCTACCGCCATGGCAACCTCCTGTTAGTGTCAGGATGCATGACATCACTGCAGCCTATGAAGCTGAAGGCAGGCCTTGCTGTTTTGTGGCAAGGGAAGAGACTAGTTCTTCTGTAGAGGCAGGGACGTGCCATATCCGGGTCATATCCAGTGTGCCTTCAGCCCTCCCAGGACAATGCCGACGTGCCCGTAGGTTACCTGCCCAACAGATGGACGCCTACACGCAGGGTGCCCTTCACAGCGCCCACGCACGTCTCCCGCTTTGAGGGCATCAGGCGCTGTGGCACAAGCATCACAGTTAAACCGCCTCTGTACGAAGGTGACGCCAAACTAATGGCGAGCATCAACAAGAAACTCAGATTGCCAACGCAGCATCCAAGTATTGTAGGCTGCTTCTGTCTAGGAGTCTAAATCTTGTTAGCCGCAACAAACTGAAACCTGCAATCTTGCTCAGAGGAATGCGGTGCCTATGGTCCTACACTTGTCTGGCCTGGCAATGCACTGTGGTGCAGAAGCTCATCCGCTAGAGTTGCGACCGCAGCTCAGTCATGATGAGATCCGCAGACACCATCGCGATCCCAACTTTGCCGCCAGCTATCAAGTCTTGCAAGCGCGGTGCTGCCGTGACTCCAGACATATTCCGGATGAAATGGAAACTCCGGGCTTCCAGATCGAGGGTGGCATTGTGTGCTTGCAAGGCTCCTTTGATGCTGCCACTTTTGGCATAGAAGCGCAAACCGTTGCGTTTCTTGCGCGTCCATCAGAACTCGCTTATAGTTTTGATATGTTTTGATGGTCTATATGCATGTCCCCACCAGGAGCAGACAATTTCAAACATCCTGTTGTTTTAAGAATAATTCTCTCCACATCTTGAAGGGGCAAGCGAGACCACCAAATAATGCTGAAAGAGCAGATGACCTGCAGGAGTGTACAAGACGCACCACACAGCTGATAGCCCTGCTGATGGGCGTGGTCATGATGTGCTAATGATACGATCACACGTGTACCTGAAGATGCCAGGCGCATGGTAGATAATATGTCACTGATGATGCTGATGCTGACATGACCTTGGTGATGGCAGCTGTGGTTGTCAGAGATGGCACAATACCACCATGCCGTACCGCTACAGACATGCATTGCGATGCTTTGTAGCACTTTCCAAGCTCATATGCTGAAGCAGCTCTTTACGTAGCACGCCTCTACGAACCTCCACGTTCAAAATCTTGCAAGCGCTGTACCTGCCTTTGTCCCTTTTCAAGCCCTAAACATCCCTAAGCCCGAAGCACTTCCCAGGTTTTTGCCGGAAGGCGTCCGGCCCAGGAGGATCGTCCGCTGCCTGGCGCCGCTGCTGAGGCAGCGCCCGAACGTGGCGGGTTCAGACGCCAGATTGAGAATCTGGAAATTGATCTATAGTCTAAGAATTTTCCATAGCAGTTTGAGGAACCACCATCTTGCGGTTTAGGGGGGATGTCAAGAGTCAATCTAAGCACTTGAGGGACCCCTAATAGGGACCCTTGCTTATGGGGATTAGTATGGGGACATCCTAGGAATATAGTGGTTATATAATAACTATATAAGGGTTATGTATGGTAATGGGATTAAGGGTCCCTGTTAGGGGTCCCTCCTAAAGTCCCTAGAAGTTAGGCAAACATTTGGCGTCATCCTGTACACTGAGAGGTTTTCAGGGTTTAGGGTTTAGGGACCCTAATAGGGTTATTTAGGGTTTAGGGTTTAGGGAATATAGGGTTAAGGGTTTAGTGCCCCTTGAGTAGATAATAAATTATGGGGGTCCCTTTAAAGGGGTTATATAGAGATTATATAGGGGTGATGGAAAAGAAAATGGAAGCTACTATTCAGGGTTTAGGAGACATGTTACTTTCCCGAAATAGGTGGACACCAATGCAGACCCCAAAGCACTAGAGTCCTTGTTATGGGGACCCCCCAAAAAGGGAGCGCTAATTTGGGGAAACTCTAAAACCCTAAATGCTCCCCCTAGAAGCCCTAAACCCCAGACCCTCCCGCTAGAACCCCTCTAAGGGTACCCTTAATTAATTTAATTTTGGGAGACCCTAAACCCTATGTAACCTTATAACCCCTATATAACTCCTATATAACCCCTATATAACCCCTATATCCTCCTTGAAAAGGTACCCTTAATTTTGGGAAAGCCCCCCCCGGTAGATGTCTTGAGGTTTGCTTGGATGGCTGCAAGGTCTTAGGCTGCTTTAGGGGTTACATGGGGGTTAAGGTTTAGGGTTTAGTGTTTAGGGTTTAGGGTTTAGGTTATATGCAGACTATCATATAGGGCTTACTTAATATAGCATATTATGGTATATTAAGGGATATAGGCCTTATATATGGGTGATATCAATGGAAAAGAAAATGGGAACTACTGTATTATAATAGGAATGATGATAGAAAACAAGATGGAAACTACTACATAGTATAACGGGGGTGATATGGGGATAATGGAAAAGAAAATGGGAACTAGAGGGATTATAGCGATCATACAGTCTTTACATAAGGATTATAGGGAATACATTGGGGTTATATGGGGAGTGGAAAATACGATGGAAATTATTATAATGGGGTTATATAGACCCTAAACCCTGAACCCTATAGGATTTAGGCTTTAGGGCTTTCAGGTTGGATTCTGCCAACATTCCAAGTGGACTATGCAGGGACCTTGCGAAAGTTACGCAGTTCCAACGTGTCTCACGTGGTTTAGGGCGTCAAGACTCACACGTCCGTTTGGACCATGTGAGAGAAGCTGCTCACATACGCGGATTCGTATTCTAACAAACCATAAGATGGGTATGATGCAGAGGGACTAGGCGATTTTGAGGCTGAACTGGTTGCTTTGTCAGCAGCAAGAGCCATCACAGGATAGTAGAAATCATGTAGTTCTTCATGGTATAGGGAGGCCATGAATAATGCTGAGCTTTGTGTTGTTGCCCCGAATTTTGCGTCGTCGTTTAGGAGGCGGTCTATAAAGGAGTGCAAGCTCAAGTTGCTAAGCATTGGAATTCTAGGAAGACGACCAACCTACAGGGCGAAGTACGGGATGTCCTCCTACCCCTCAGAGCCCCTCCCTATACTCTAAACCTTGAAGCCAAAGTCTGAAACGCCCAAATCCCTGGCGCAAAGGCTCTAAGCCTGACAATCGTTACGGCAACCCAGGACATCGAGATGGAACTCATGGCGGATCAATCCCTGGCAATTACTATCCGACCTGACGGCCAAATTGCAGTTGAAGGAGGAGCACGGGGCCGTTTGCTTTCAGAAGTCCTCTGTAGAGTCATCATCATTGGCGGAGGTGGCGCAGTGTGTAGGGTTTAGTTGATGGTGTGCAGGGTTCGAAGAGCGGTCACCTATTTGGAGCCCTCCTCCAAAATACCCCAAAGTTGCAGAGAGGTTCGACGACCTTGTGAAGACTGTTCCTCGCAACGCCTTGACCACCCTGTGAGAGGAAACGTCCATAGCTTGGACAAAAAAGGCCACATGCGCATCATCGAGCAGAAGAAGCTTGCATATGTTCAGTTTCTGATCGAGCAAAATGACTTAGACATGTCCCCTCAATTGAGAACTGCATCCGCGTGTGTATGTCAGAGACGCACCCACCTGAGTGCAGTGACATGCCAAAGTATCCTATCACACAGCGATACAGGAGGCATGCCGTTCCAACAGGGCAAACTCGACGGGCATTTCGTGGAGAGGGCTAAGCACGTGGGAGGCGTACCCGATTGATGCTTTACGGCCCAAGCCGATTACGAAGGGAAACTCAAATGCTGCTCCCCCCCTTCTTACACCATAGCATAGTATAGTATGTTAATGTTATAAGTTATTTATTGCAGTGTGTTGTAGGATGTCATAGCAGAAAGGCAGCATCAGTCAGGAAAACGCCAGCAGCTGTGACAATCAATCATAGCTTGGTTCCTTTTGGTTTGGTGATTCCGTTCTGTTACAGGGACATTTTCCTCATGTGACAGTAGCCCTTAGGCAATCCCCAGTATTCTAACAGCTTCCATATTCTAATCCTTCTCGTCGTGGACCACTAGCAAGATGTGCAATGTAGAAGCTTGAACACGTAGTATTGTCGTGGACCTAGATTCCTGGTATAAGTATGATACAGGGTGCCGCTGCCAGACCACAAAACAATATTGGTGTGTTTTAGGCTTCCCTGCGCTGCGATCCTGAATACCCCCCGTTTCCTTTGCATGTTCTATCTTCTTTTCCACTTGATTCGCCATTTTTGGGCTACTATCCCCAGAGCCATATTCTCTCTCTCTCTCTCTATCCCTGATATACCCCCATACAACCCTTTGGTAACCCCTATGCCTATATCCCATTTGAGTAAGGTACCCCTAAAGCCCTCCAAAATCCCTACATACCTAGGGAAGAAGGGAATATAATCCCCATATAGACCCTGTATAATACATTACTCTATCCCCTACTAACCACCAATAATTAGTTTATTCCAGGAAGCTGGGCTGGCTCTACTTGGATGGAGTGCGCTTCATCCTGGAGACAGGTGTGCCCATCCAGGAGAGCAGCTCTCAAACAGGGATCCTTCTTGTGATAAAGAATTAAGAAGTAGAGGGTTTAGGGTATGTAGGGGTTTTATAGGGTTTGAGGGGTACCTTCAGTAGTCTTGGGATTTTTTTATGTTGCTTGTTTATGACAAGGAAACGAAAATATGTCTGTCTTAGCGATAGCTTTAAGTGGACTAACAACACCCCCCCCCCCCAGATGAGTACTTACCAGGCGGGTACCAACATATGAGGCTCATATGGATATCTGCATAGGCGTACTCCAAGGATACTTACCCGATACCTACCAACCTGGAACTCTCCTTCATCCAAAAACAAACCCTCATTCATGACATGGCGGGTTCCAGGTTGCAGAGGCTCTTACAGTTGGGCGCAAGAAGGACACTGAGTTGACTTTTGAGAGCCTTTGGTTTTCTGCAATGTTTTGAGCAGATTCTTGGTCCTGACGAAATTTTGAGTTCTCAGAGCTCAACCCAGGAAAAGAAGAGCAAGATCCTCACAGAGGATTTCGATAACAGCGGCGCGGTCGCCCTGAAGCAAGGAAGCATCGTATGTTTGGAAGGGGCCTTACGTTGGACAGCAGCGGCTTGATCCGCATTTGAGAGAAGTCTTCGGTGTTTGGTTGTTGCAGTAGCCAGAAAGGAAGAGAGAGAGAGAGAGAGAGAGATAGACAGCGGGAGAGAGAGAGAAACATTGGCGGTCTAGCAGGGCTGGTTGAGTATTGTGAGCTGCGGATGACCAGTACATCGGTCCTCCTAGGTTCGACTCTGCGCGCCAACGAAACCTGCTGGGGCTTGGGGCATTGCTCCAGGGGGAGTCTTTGGAAGCTCCTAGAGCCCTGAACGAAAGAAAAAGATGTAGGGGGTGGTGAAGACAAGGATATGCACAGGTCAACTCTCTCCTCGGCTGCTGAAAGATCTATGCAACGTCTGTATAGAAATTTCCCCACAGGAGCATTCGCAAAGTCAGAGGTAGGTGTGGGGCTTGGTGTTTCCCGTTTCAGGGACTACGTGGATGCTCACTGCTACAACAGTTCCTCTCATGGCGAGAGAGGGGAGGATTCTCCGGAAGGCAGCAACAAGTGCGGGCAAGGGCAGCAAAGAGCAGCACGGGAAGTTGGCTTCCAAGTAGAAGTGCTCCGGGTCTCGCCAGACTGGGGCTATGGGGTTGAACCGCACCGCAACCCACCTCGCAAGGCGGGTGCAGCCCGTAGCAGAAGAGGGACGTAGCTACCAGAGCCTCAGAACCGTTAAGTTCATTGTCTGAATACGAAATTCCCCCAAACCCCAATGCCCTAAACTCTCACGATTCCAGCCTCCAACCCCTGAAGCTAACCCAAAGCCTCAAGCACAACTGAGGAGAACCCTCCTCATCCACGCAGAGCTCTAGGCTTCCTTCCGCAAGGCCGGCTCCCTCACTCCAAACGTAGACGAATCACATGAGCCATAGTCTAAACTCCTTAAAGGGGGTTATATGGGGGATTATATAGGGGTATATTATCGGGGTCATTAAGGGGGATACTAGGAGTTTAGACCATGGCTCACATGAGCTATGGGCAGGGTCTTTGTTTTTTGGAGGGCTACATAGCAACTTGCATGGGCTTTTACATCGTTATCAGGGGTCCGGGCCTGCAGCCAAATCGAAGCAATGAGCTGGTTTTGGAAAACGCTAGGGTAGGCACAAATCACAAATCCAGGTTATCATAATATACCACTGCACTGTAAAGACACTATATATATATATATGTATGCACATGTTTAGCGCGGTTGTCTGATCATATGCTCATTCACCCGTGCACCCCAAACCTGTGGTTTCCTGGCCCTTTCCATGCACTTGGCATTAGCGAGCCCTGAGAGGCCACTGGCCAGAGCGCCGCGAGGTGTGGGTTGATACACACGTGGTATAGGTTTTAGGGTTTTTGTTTTAGGGTTTAGGGTTTAGAGGGTCATTTTTGAAGATAAGTTTTCACATCCATATAATGAAGCCCCCGAGGCAGAATTGACTGATGTTTCTTAAGTCGGATCCTCATTTGCGACCACTTCCTACGAACCCTGTATCAAGAGACTATGGATTGTGGGCCTTCATGGAAAACCCCCGAGACCTTGATGCTAAGGACATAGGGCAACATTTTTGTTAGCTCAGGGTTTAGGGCAAAAGGGCTCTACCATAAGGGGTTGGGGGAGTATACTCTTTTAGGGGGTGGGAGCCCTAAACCCTAAACCCTACATTGAAGAGCACCCAGGTCTTCTTCACCCGTGGCCACATGTTTGCAGAGGTGGAGCGGTGCCGGGTCGACATTGACCCTGGGGCCTGAGGAGTGTAGAAGCCTCAAGGGTTTAGAGCCTAGGGTCGGTGGATACGAAAATTCCAGCATGACCCTGAGTACCCTGGGAATTACGTAGGGAATATCATCCTACTAGATTTATGCAGGGTTTTTAGTATCAACATTAAGTCTTCGAATCCCCATGAAATAGCCGCTCCCACCTTCCCAATAACAAACATTCCCCCCCCCACCCGTTACGCGATGGTATCATGCTGTGGTGGGGGTAGTGATTATTAGGGAGTTGTCATTTTACGGGGGGAGGTGAACAGAGATATCACCACAGCCCTGTTCTCACATAGGAATCTATCGAAATGATCGGTTCTAATGCACTCGAGGCGAATCATGGTGAATTAGCAATGAAATTAGAAAGCAGATCCCCCCTAATCGTCAATGCTCCCAGTGTGGGTGGGAGGTTACTACTGGCAGGAGGTAACCTATGCATTTTAGCGGTTGCCATCTTATTTTCATGTGATTCTCTATACTTAGGTTGAGAGGGCGGCACCCCAAGCTCTCAACCTCACAACCCCACGCCGTCAACCCCACACCCAAACCCCAGGAAAGTTCAGTACTCAGATGGGGTCCTATTCCGCAAGCCAACATGGAAGCCCACAATGGGACCTCAGAACCTTCTCCCTAGCTGACTGCTAGGAGAATCCGAATTGGCCCTTTTTAGGGTAGTCTTCCAGATCTGGGCTTTTCTGGGAGGAGTAGTTATGATTAGGGGCATTTTGTTAGGGGATGTGAGTAGTTTGGGGAGAGTACATGATGAGCTGTTCTGCGGAAGTGTTTGAAGTCAAGAGTTACCATTGTTGCTGCCCCTCATGTTTTCAATTGAAATCTTGGAAATTCTCTAGCATTTCCTACCATAAGTGTTCTCTGTACGCCCTGCACAAAGACATCACATCACATAGGTTCCCCAATATACCCCTATACAACCCCTCTAGATAACCCATATATAAACCCCAATATAACCCCTGTACAACCCTGACATATAATCTAAGTATAAACCCCAACACCCCAATATAACCCTTATATGAGCCATTGTCTAAACTCCAAACTCCTAGTATCCCCTTAATAAGCCCTATATAATCCCCTATATAACCCCTTGTAAGGAGTTTAGACTATAGCTCATATGTGATTACGCCGCAACCAAGCCAAGCTTAGGATTGCCACGGCCGTATCTTCTGCCCGGAGGGAGGTGCAGAACACGGTCATGTCAATCTCAGCGGAATAATCTTCAAGGCATGGGGGGGTAATATAGGGATAATGGAAAATAAAATGGAAACTACTATAATGGATTATATAGGGTTTTATAGGGTTTTAGGGGTTTAGGGTTTAGGGGATTTGTTGGGCAGAAGGAGACAAAGGAGTTGCAGTATGGGCAATCCCGTAGCATCGTAGCAGCCACGCTTTACGGAGCCTCCCTTGATTCTTTCCTTCCTTTCCAGAAGCCAGGCATCAGCCAATGACACGCCACATCCTGCAGAATCCAATGACTGGGACGATCTTGCTGTCCAATACAGCTCTGTCAAGGAGGGAGCTTTTGAAGATGCTTCTCAAAATTGTCTTACGAAATCCTGAAGGGGAAGGCTTTCGCCTGAACGTCCCTAGGCCCTGGGATCCCTTATGAGAGCATTCATGGTGGAAAATCTACAGGAAGTCTCCAGCGAGGGGTACAAACTCTTGGAGTCTTTCATCCAGCGTTGCAACAGGAGGGAGTGGGAGTTCGTGGCTTGGCCTTGTTTCGAGCTAGTCTCTAGAGTTCCCTTGCCTGAGAGGGGAGTTTTTTGTATCCCATCACCTTCAGAGTGTCCTGAACCCCTAGACCCTAAACCCAACCTAGATCGAGCATGCCATGACCAAGTACAGCGGCGGCCGCAAGCTGCAAACGCCATGGGGTCAGGAGCTCAAGATATCTGGGATAACATGTTCTCAAAGAAGCCAACAAGGGTGCATCCCCAAGTACGTGCAGTTTTATGGGTTAGATATACCTACAACTAGAAAACCGTTGTAGGTAATGGGGGCTACGCGTAAATTTTGGGAACGTCCTGTAAAAGAGGCCATGGGGTCAGGATGTCGCGCCGCGAGGCACGCGAAAAGTCAATGAGCATAACCTGGATGATATCATGGGGGCGCTGTGGAACAGATGCTAGTGCGACTGTTGGTAACCTTGCTTTCCTCAGCTTTCTGATTCCAACTATGTTTGAACATTGAACATACAACAGATGCTTTGGCCAGAAGATGGACGGCAAATAAGGAAAGATGAAGCGGGTGCTGGACGAGATGGGCGTCAAAAGCCCACACCTCCTATTTCAGTTATCCTTGCCAAAGCTGCAGAAGGTGTTGAAAGAGTTGGCGAGCCACGACGCAGCTTTACAGGCAAGGGAGGAGCAGGGTTCATGTCTCCTTGCTTCCCGGGGCTTTGCTAGGTTCCCTTACGTAAAGGCAAAGATGGCCTGATGATAAAAAAAAAAACTGGAGCAGAGTTTGTGTTTTCAGGGTGCTTCCTAGCTCCCGATTACCATGCAGAACTCCCTATCCTATCATAGGGAGCCTTTCTTTCATACTTCGCCTAGCTTTTGTGTTTCTCACTGCTAAACACAAAATACACAATCTTAGAGGACGCCCTAACTCCAAGGTACGACGGTGGGAGAGGTATCATCGTGAGATTCAGAGTCCCAAATTTATGACTCCCCTTGAACCTTCCAAACCCCTAAACCCCAAATCCTAAACCCTACACCCTAAACCCCCCAAACCCTAACCCCTGAGCAACCAGACCTGGGCCTAGCAGGAGACAGAACTGGAGAAGCGCCACATGGGGCTGGCTGATGCTGGGATCCCAAGCAAGTCTCTTAGGGATTAGGGTTTATTTTGGTAAGGGTGATAATAGGGGTTCTTTTGGTGCTGGAAATAATCCCAATGGCCAATAACAAATAATCCCGAGCATTATAATCTTTAACAGGAACTCATATCCACTAATTATACAATAAGAAGTATTGACTGCGTTTCATACGTTCTGGGTCTTGGGGGATTGAACTAAGCTTTAGGGTGAGGCATCTTCACATATCTTCACATAAAGAAGCTTATCCTTGGCGATCGGAGCCCTAAGCCCTAAAACCCTAAACCCCTAAAACCTTAAACCGAGGAAGTATGGGAGACCAGCAAGCATGGAAATCTGCATGTCAAGCACCTGAAGGACCTACGCGTCGTAGGGCGCAGGGTTTAGGGCTTAACTTAGTCCCCCGTATCCCCTGACATTGAAATTATGCCCGGAATATTTGTAATGGCTTCTTACGCAGTACAGAAAATATCAGCAGGTAGGGGATTCAGTGTTGCAGCAGATTTTGGTTCATGTGCTTCCGGAAGAGGTTCTACGAAGGCTACTCTGCCATCGTTGAGACAAGGAGTGCTTTCCGAGAATAATATGGATTTAATGAGGGTTTCCTAAAATTAAGGATACCCTCTTGGGGTCCCCATCAGGATTGTATCATAGTGGGGTCTATATTGGGGTCCCCCTATTTTGGGAAACTCCCAATGTAGAGGCCTGAGGAATTAGCATTGCGTCCTGCATTTTGTAATATAGGTCCTAGTTTACAGTAGCTGCACATGCCACGTCTAAACCTACAGGATAGGGTTTATGGTTTAGGGCCTTACATCATTGACGACCTGAAAGGGAGGCTTACAGGAGGACAAACTCTTTCATGGAAGGCGTTCACTTTCCGTGATTAATCTGGGAGTTTCCCAAAGTGGGCGGGACCTGTAAGGAGGACTGTGATGCATTGGTGTCTTGATTGGGAACCCGTGATCCTAAACCCTAACACCTAAACTTATTGAAATCCTCATATTTCAAGTACTTTTGCAGTCTGGGCGGGAACCAACCTTGCAAGCCTCTGGTCTAAGTGAGTAATAGTAAATAGTAATAATAGTAACAATAGTAACAATAATATTCGTAGTAATGGTAGTACTAGTAATAATAAAAGCAATAACAGTAGTAATCATAGTATTCATAGTCTTACGCACCTTCCGCATGACTGGAGGCTTAGCACTTGCTTGATGCCCATGCTTACCCATACTTTCCGAAGTTCCCCGACATTTTTGCAACTTCATACTGTTTTTCCTTGCGATTCAGGATGCCGCAGACGAGATTGTAGAGCAGATGGTAGCAAGATGGGACTTCGATGCTCAGATGCAGGGGCTCCTGAACAACGACTTCCGGGCTCCTCTGTCAATCAGGCAAATCAGCCGGGCCGGTGACCTTTAACCTTTAGCTTCTTAGGGTAGAAGGTACCTTTTTGGGAGTACCTGTAACAGGGATTATTGAGTATTTTGGTGTCGAAGTTGGGTTCTCCCTGTTTATGGAAGCTACCACAAAGCCCCCTACATTCAAAAGGTTAACCTTTAGGGGGCCAGGAAACTTAGCAGCTATGCAGGCATCTGTACCCACCTCGCCATGGGAAAGAGCTGATGACGATCCTGAAAGATTTTTCGAATGACGAGACCGCAAAGTTTAATGAGACCTACCAATTCTTCAGGAATTTCGAAACAAATGGCAATACGATGACCCACTGCAGCCTCATGGGCACGAAGGACCACTTTACAGATACTGGCAAATGGCACTTCCCTGACAGTCCCAACGTTCAGACACAGCTGTTTGAGAATATCGCATGGCTCTATGAAGCTCGCCTCAGAGGGTTTGTTTGGGATATATCATAGCACACGAGGACATGTAGGGGTATTTAGGCAGATATAAGGACATTGGGGTTCCAGGTAGGAACCCTGTTACGTGTCATTTGGGCATTTTGGGCCGAGACCGGCAAATAAAGCATACATTCAAGTCATTGTGTTTCCTTTGACGATCCCTAAACCCTAATCTAGGGCAAGGGGATCTTCCACTACATCTCCGAACGGCAGACGCCCCGCTTCCCGTTCATCGAGGACTTTGACATACAAGATGCTTGCTGCACTATTCGCAGTTTTTCTGTGTGGGTTTGCTTCTGCTCTCCACCTAGCAGAGATCCGTGCTTGCAACCCTGCCAGCCATTCCCCTTGCTGAACAGGGATCGGCTATGCCCTGATGCAACATCATCCCCACCCCACACTTCTAGCGGCATAACGGTGGGGAAACATTTTTGTCCAAGGCTGAGACAGACTACACTGCGAAGGACCCCAGGACAGGTCTACCGCCTCCTCCAGACAGCCTAATAATGGACTTCCCATCGTGCCGCGACAGCAGTTTGGGGGGTGCCAGGAGCTCTTAGGATCCAGGCGTTGAGGTGTTGTGATGGCTTGCTTTCTAAGCAATAAATTGGACCATTGGTCCTGTTGCAATTGTTTTGTTTTGCCATCGGCAGATAAACCACGACAGAAGGGAGAGCCTGGACCCTTCGAGTTTGTTGGCCCAAACAGCGCTTGCAGCAGTTCAAAGCTGCATCCATATAGCAAGGCAGCCTCTGCGCCTCCGCCGTTCCCATCCCCGCGTAGTTTAGGTGCTTCTGTTTTTGGGTGTTAGGGTTGGAGGCTTTGGGGGTCAAGGTTTTGTGGGCTGGGTGTCGGTTAAGGCAGTCGGGCTTGAGGCCAAACAGGATAGAGCAATTGCTCCATGCTGGGGTGGTTTCCAACAGCATCTACTTGCAATGCTTAGATGTCCGAACACTGGCGAGGGGTTGGTAGCCTAGCAGTGACTTAGATGAAACGGCCGCTCAGCGGTTACTGAGCAGATGTGTGCAAATGGTCTGGGCAGTTCTGTAGAACAAAGTTTTCGCCGAGGGCCAAATCCATGGGCATGAGCGCCGAGGGCAAAGTTTTCACCCACTTCCCCCTGCGCCGGAAGTTTATACGGAAGCCCTGGGGGTCATTTTCCAGGGTCCTAGATCCTGTTCTGTCTGTTTATGTTGATATACATCGCATGGGTAATGGTGACGCTATCGCGTACTGCCTGGGCCTGGCTTGAGTGGTGAGTGGGTCATCCCAAACCCGTTTAGTAGCCTCCTACTGACAACAACTACAGTACACCATCCGGCAACACGAAGCGTTTGAAAGCAATCTTTTGGTGGACTACACTTACTGGTTGTTTAAGAGGGAATGAAGGAATATGTTCCCTATTTGACCCTATTTCATATGTTCCTTTATTCCCTACCCTAAGCCCTAAATCGATACATACGTGCAAATATAATTATATATATATGTATATACTGACTTATATGTATGTATTGCCTTGTTCCGTACTACCCCTCAGTAAGTATAGGTCCCAGTATAACCCTCAATCTTCCATAGCAGTTTCCATGTTCTTTTCCATTCTTCCCTACATATAATCCCGACATATACCTTGCGCAATCAAGGTCGCATAATCATGATCCGGGTCAGCTCATGAAATGGCGGGCCTTGGCCATTCACTGCCTATTTCCACATCTTATGTCACTGCGATGCCTGGTGGGCATGGGCCAAAATTGTGGAGCCGTAAATCCCCTAAGAACCCCCTTCCCTAAGTGAGTTATAGTCTAAACTCCTTAAATGGGGTTATACTTCTAGAAAATGATGTAACCATACGAAGTTTCAAAGATGAGGAGGCACAGATTCAGACAAGGCTCTTTTTAACCAACCCTGTATGGTTATACAGTTACTATATTCTTATTACTATACTACTATATTACTATATAACTACTATATTAATACATATTGAAGTAGTTTCCATTATTTTCTATTCTCCCAATGTAACCCCAATACAACCCCAGCCCATTTCTTGCTCTCAAGTTGAGGTCTACTCTGCGTCGGGCTACAACAAGGGCAAGGAGCTGATGAAGTCCTCTTTCCACTTAGTCTGGCCGGATTTGATCGTGGACCCGGATACCGCCGCAAAGCTTCGGGAGGTGACCTTGCAGATGTTCACTGAACAGTCAAAGAAAACAGGCACATACCTGCATGACCTCTTGAAGAAGCTTTTTGCACTGCACGAAACCAATGACTGGCTCAATGTTTTCGACAAGACTACAATCAGTGCAACGAATGGTCTGCGTCTGCCTTACAACGACAAGGTATCCCAGGTCTACAGAAGCTTGCTCTTTGATTTAGCTTGTGGCTCAGGTTGCAGACTTGACATATGGACTTCTCAACAAAGGGGCCTTTAGGGATATACGAGAATTCTGACAGATCATATGGGGGGGGGGAATCTTCTCAGCTCTAACTGGCACCCACCATACTGTTAAACTCGGCACACAGGAATTTCCGAAGCCCTCAAACCGAGCAGTGAATTCAGGACAAACCTCTTGCTTACCTAGCCAGTCACCTTCTACTGCCCCTCCAAGGTTTCCCTCAATTGGCTTCTTCAGGAGCATTTAAAGTCAATTAAGGGGGAACCCTGGCCTAAGAGTCAACCCATGCCCAGGAGATCCGGAAGACAAGGAGAGGGTCAAAAGAGGGGAGATAGCCAAAAACAAGGCGCCCAAGGTGAGGGTGAAAGAGCCTGGGCAGATGAATCATTTATGAAGCTAGCGATTGGGCTTTCAAAGTCTTCTCCGTAAGTTAAGCTTCTTTGAAAGGGGAAGCATGGCAGAAAAGAGGAAATCTTCCAAGTTAGTTTGGGAGTGGCAACTTGATAAGCCAGAATATGTATGGCGGGCCTGTTACCTTTGTGTTTGGCAGATCTTGAGGGCCAACCCCTAGTCCCCAAACCCTCACAGATGGCACGCACATCCGGACGTGCTAAGTGGCAAAACCCTTTCCACCAAGGAAAACCGGTATTCGAAGGCAATCGGAGAGATACTCTTCATTTTCGACAAGGATGATGCCGGCAAGTCCAAAATCTCCTCAGCCAAATGGCAACTGGATGGATTTGTCAGGTTGTTATTATAGTTCTTAGTAGTATTATAGTTATTCAGGTTATCCCCCCCACCTGCAACCAGTGGGCTTCTGCATTGGAGTCTAGAGAGGGGCCCTCTTATGACCCGTTCTCCCTTCTTACCACTATGTTTGAGGTAAGGCGATGGCCTAGTGGAATTTAGCAGCACGTTTCATGTTGTTATATACCGACAACACCGACTTGTTGGCCCTTGCAAGAATTAAACATGACCGATGCAGGCAAAACACCTCTGACAGATCCATCGCCAAATGGATTCAGAAGCCGGCCTGCTTTTGGTGGCATTTTTCCGTTTTTCTACTGTTGCTCTTGTTCTTGTTCTTGTTCGTTTTGTTTGAATTTTGTGGAGGTGCGCCTACAAATTGGGGATCCACCGACCCAGTAATAGTGACTATAAGGGATAATAATGACTATGTTAGGAACCTCTTCTATTCCTAATATACCACTATTACAGGGTGGAGGGTCCTCCTAAAGGATCCTTACTTCGGGGGTGAAAAAGATTTCCAGACGACCTCCCCTTTCGAGGAGCCCAGCCCTCCTTGTACTTTTTCGCCCGGTAGGGAAAACCCACATTACAACCGGGTAATATTGGGTACTGCCCCCACTCATTAACACTTGGATAGTACTTGCAATATAAATATACGGTTCCCTTCATATGGCCCTTATGAAAGACTGTTATTAGGTAGGGGCAGGACCCAAAGGTAATATGCGATGGTCTCTTGTAAGTACTACTGACTGTAGATGGCACTAGATTTTTCTGCGTAACGCGCCTACCTAGTTTCTACGATGTCGGGCGAGCGACGATAGTGGATTACTCAGCACGGAGCCGGTCTGGAGAGTCTGGTGTAATCCCTTCCCCCTCTAATTGTGAACCTCCCGACCCCCTTAACAACAAATAATTCCCTCAATTTATAAGGAATTCGTGATGGTACTGTATTGACGAGTTCATGGTTAGGGGTATGAAGGGGAGGGGGCTACTGTAGCGCCTGGCTGTGCCAAAAAAAATTGACGGCTAGAAGGCCGTGCAAGCCATAGACCCTAACTAAAGCGAAAGTGGGGGGGTTCCCACCCCCGGCCCCGTGGATACACCAGAGCAGTCTCACACTGGCAGGGAACCAACATTTTTGGAAAGAAATAAAACCTCATTCATTATAGATGTATGCATATATATATATATATTCTCATGTACATATACATGCGAGAAAACTCCTACAGCAGGATAGATCATATTCACAACGAAACAGAATAGCATACGCTGTCCTGGGATGTGGTGTTTCATATTACGAGTATACTTTCATGGGTTCCCCCACTACCCCCTCCCCCACCATGCTACCCCGTAGCTGCCCAATTAAGATTGATTAAGGGTTTGCCTAGAGGGTAGGTAGGTGAGGGTAGTAGGCCTTAAACCCGATCCATGTAATATTATGGCCTTATTGAGCGGGGGTGCTAGGAGGCTTGACCCTAACTCATATAACCGCTATCTAACTCCTGCACCCCCCTCAAACCCCTAAACCCTGCGATGCTGTATGGCCATGCAAGCGGCAAAATCGCTAAACCCTTAGACCCCTAAACCTTAAACCCTATAATTAATTCACTTGACCCAGGATGGGATCATGTCGACTGGACATGACTGACGCTGAGAGGACGGCTTCGTCTACTGCTTGACTGGGGCATGGTTTTCAGGGTTAAGGGTTTAGTCTAAGGTTAGAAGTATGGGCCCCCAATATGGGCCCTTAGGCCTTTAAGGGGAATTTTAGGGACCCTTAAGGGTGCACATAGGGTACCTAGTAGGTTTCTAAGTATCCAAGACTTAAGGGCCCACACTAGGGGCCTATGGTTCTAATCTCAGATTCAGGATTTACTTGGGCCAATCCCCCACCCAGTAATGGGTACCACAAGTTGCTATTGCAGGTATGTTAAGGCCTTAATAATTCCATGTTCGAGTTATTGCTATAGGGGGGATTGACCTAACAGGGTGGTGCCCGCGTGAGGTTGGGCATACTGCAGAGGTCCAAGGGCCCCAACCTGTCCCTTGCTAAGAGAACTGTATTTTACCTAGCTTTGCTAAGTTTTGAGTCGATCTTCTGTATTGCAAATTTGAAGGCCGAGCCCAATCAGATGTCAAGGTCAAGGTTCCTTGTGAGCACCATCATATGAGCTGTAGTCTAGATTCCTCAAAGCGGTTACATAGGGGATTGTTTTGGGGTCTATTATAGGGGTTACTAAGGGGGATACTAGGAGTTTAGATATGGCGCATATAACACAACACTCCTACATGAGAGAACAGGCTGCAAACCTCAGCTTTGGACCCAGATGCCCGGCTGTCAACCTTTAAGCCCCATCCAGGGCCTGAGTATGCAGGACATTGTATTCTCAGTAGTTTTATGTTTGGTTCCTCAAACGCGGTCATGGCATTTGGCAACCATTATTCTAGGCAGTTGCCCCACAAGCCAAAAGTTGAAAACACAAAAAGGATAATAGGGAATATGATGGCTTCGAGCCCTTCATGTTACCCCTAGTAAAGATGGTTGCTGGCTGGGTAGTGCCCCCAGCCAGCAACCATCTGTACTAGCACTACCCATTATGTAAGCTCTCTGTAAATGATAGGTAACCTCCCATGTGGAACCTCCTTGCCAACCTTGCTTCCTGGGGGTTACCTCCGGGTTTAGGGATCAGGGTGTAGAGTTTAGGGCTTAAGAAACGAAGAGAGTGAAAGGGAGAAGAGAATTGGACAATGAATTGGAACCTGGGTTTTGATGGGGTTTGTAGGGTTATGCTGAATAATTATCTGGTTCGCCGTGAAATTGTTGTGAGCTTTCAAAAAAGGGTGGATCCAAACAGGCGTTTGATCGGACGAAGCAGTCAAATGGCTGTGTCCAGTTTTTGGGACAAGTGCCCCTGACAAGTTCCGCTTTGTTTATGTCAGCCAATATGATGTCCGCTCATGATCAGAATACGCATCGTATGAATTTCTGTTTGCGCTTCGCAAAGCCCCAAACCCTCTCATGGCCGGCGGGTCAATCTTCGGGTATCAACCAACCCTACACCCTAAACTGCGTAACAGCAGGATCCTTGTCAGTGAGAGCGCCCCCCAAGATGAGAAACCACCACGTAACGAGGACTCAGCCGACGAAGGTGTGCCCAAGTGCGGAAGGCCGACGACTTCTACGGAACCTCAAGAGGCAGTATGACAGCCACTCTCCATGGTTTAAGGGTGGGATTATATAGGGATAATGAGAATAAAGCGGAAACTACTATATAGTATGTTGGGGTAATATTGGGATGATGGAAAATAAAATGGAAACTACGATAATGGAGAATCAAATGGAAAAGGAAATGGAAAATGACATGGAAACTAGGGAACATCTGGGGTTATAAAGAGGTTATAGGCAGTATGACAGCCACTCTTCTGCTTAGCAGGTATATTGGGGTCATATTGGGATACTGGATGTATAGTATATTGGGATAGTGGAAAAAGACTCTCCTGCTTAGCAGTTGCCTTGGGGCACGGTGCACGTTTCTGAAAATCGCCGGCCCCGGTTTGGGGGTCCCTCTCGCGTTCTAGTAAGAGATGTACAAGTTTGGGCCCACACAGGTGGGTTCGAAATTTGAGCATAGGCCCTGCGGCTTTGTACATGGAAGTTTGATTGCCCTGCCCTGCTGTTTGGTACTGAAACTTGCTAACTTCGTGGCATTTGAGCCTGTTGAGAAGACATGCTGGCTAGATGTTGGCAAAGGTATGCACAAGTAGGTTGCCAGATGAGACTTCGTGCTGTCGTTTTCTGAGCTGAGATGATGGCCGCGATTTCGGCCTGGATATCGGTTCAGATGATGAGGACAGGGCTGAATCTCGGGGATGCCTTGTCTCGACATGTCTTTAGTCTTAGGATACAAGGTTTAAGGTCCACACAGTCTGATAAACGAGTAGCCAGACGTTTCTTGCTCAGATCCATCGGCAACTTCTGAAAGGAGTTCGCGACGCACACGCCTTTTCCGAACATCAGACGGTGCAAGCTCTCACCACAAGAGTTCGCGCAGCAATTCGACGAACATCTCTATGGCGAACTGGAGACTAGGATGACCTTGGAGTTGATTATTTGCTGGCCGGTTGGGAAGGGTTTAGGGTTTAGGGTTTAGAGAAATTTTGAAATCATTTCCGGTTGGTCTCGGCCTTGGAACCTTTCAAGGTTTATGTGGGTGTCCGAGAAAGAAGGCCTGGCTTCGAGACACTCATTGGGGTAATATTAGGGTTATATTGGGGTTATATTGGGATAATGGAAAAGAAAATGGAAAGTACTACGTTATAAAAGGGCATATACTGGGGTTGCATTGGGATAATGTATGAACACAGAGTCGGGCACTGACATCAAGGTTTGTTTGATTATCAGCCACTATCAGACGCAGAATCTGCAAAATGAACCTCTAAACTAAAATTAGGGGTACCCTGTTTGGGGTACCCAGAATCATAACTATAGTATTTGAGGGTCTATACTGGGTTTCCCTTATTTAGGGAACTATCAGTTTTGTAGATACATCCGAAGTTTTTGCGACTCTTCGCATGAAAGGAAAACCTGGAGTCTGAAATCAGCACCTACAACAAGGATCTGGCAAGGATGGGCTTCCGAGGGTTGTTCTGCTTGGTTCTACCAGGGCCGAATAATTGACACATCACTTGGAGTTGCGCAGGCTGCCTTGGGGCTTGTGGGTATGGGCTTAGGGGACGGGACACCGAACTAAGATCATTCTATCACAAGACCATATAGAACATGGACAGCGAGAATACGACTTAGATGAGTTAACCGAGTTATCAGTATGTCGGCATTCCAACAATTGCGGACGATAGGGAGGTTTATGTCAGGGCTTTGGGTTTGTGCATTCGCACTTGATGCAAGTCTTTGCTGGGAGAGTATTGAGAGTCCTGCTTACGACGCCCGGGGGTTTTCTTTGGGTAGGCATGCGTTTTGTGTGGCGGCGACTATCGGATCAGTCGCCCACTTAACTCCACATGGATCATCGTTTAAAAGCCCTTACCTCAGTCAGGGATACCCAGTGAACAAGTGTAGTAGATTGAGGCTCTCGACGTCACAGTTTCTGATGAGTCTGTAAATTATTCCCTTCCCTCTTCAGAACCCCACCCCCTAATGACAAATATTGACGCGTTTATGGTGGCATGATGCCGGGGAATTTGGGGGGTGAGGAGATGTCTCATTACTCATGCAAGTTATGACGACCTCGCCGGACCTTACCCCGAATGGTGGCTTATACAGAAAACGGTGACAAACTGGCTGAATCTGAAGTTCTGAACTTTGTGAAACCGGCCAGAAGCGAGGATGTCGCCCTTTGAATCTCACCTCTGTGCGAAGGTTCTACGCGATTTCAGGTGAGCCATTTTTCTACGCTCCTCAAAGGAGCTTATATTCGGGAGTATCATAGGGCCTTAGGGCTTATTCAGAGGGATACTAGGGTTTAGACTAAGGCCCAGGTGAACTTGAGTCCAGTGTTTCATGACGCATTGGATAAGTGTCCCTGGCTGCTGATGGAGAAGTGTGGTCCTCCTTACGTACATGTGCGCAAATATTCCCGTGCCCCAAACCCTAAGCTCACATGTTTGTGAATGCCGTGTAGGTTGTTAATGGCACCTATCTCACGTTCCGGATTCTTGTTCGGAAGGGTTCCAATTTTATGGTCGTGAGCCTACATGTCCTCAAGTGCCCCATGAAAATCCTAAGCCGGAACCCCCCCACTCCAAATGCTAAACCTAAAAGTGCACAGCCCAAACACTAGACAGGGGCCGCTTGGAACATAGCTCAATTTCTATTACCCTTCATCCCTACACAGCGAAGCTTGATTGTTGTTAATGGCCCCCAAACCTACTCTGGTAAACCCGCTAAACCCTCAACCCTATCATGTAAACCCTGAACCCTAAGCCCTAAAGCCTGCCAGGAAGCTTAAGGGAGCTTGGATCAGCATCACCGACACGCAGCCCAGATGCGCTTCAGGCTAACATAGGAATAATGGGAAAGAAAATGGAAGCTACTGTTTTAGGGTTTAGGGATTATATCGGCTTTAATTGAGTTGAATATGTAATAAAAATGGAAGAGAACATGGAAGCTACTATTTAGAGTTTAGGGATACTACCCCTATTAATGGAGAGTCCCAAAAAAAGCGGCGTTTTCAAAAGAGGCTTAAGGTCCGACATGTGGAGGCCTCCAAATCCTAAACCCATGGAGGGTTTAGAAGGGTTTAGAAGGGTTTTGGGTTTAGGGTTATGTGGGCCCTTAGATTTTGGTGAGGTATCATGATTCTGGTTCACATGAGCACATAGGCAGGCAAGAGCTTGGTCAGGGCAAGTGGGATTTGGAGGCTAGGATTTACGAGATTTTTGCGGCTCGGGCCTAGGGACTTGGGATGTCTTATTCTCCAAATATAGTCGTTTCAATGTTATTTTCCAATTTATTTTCCATTCGATTCTCAACTAATAGGAAACAGGTTCCTGAAAAACCTGGTGTTTTCAGGTTTGTTCAGGTTCCTCTCTCCTGCCAAGCACGTTCCGACATCAACGCATCAACTTTGGCTGGGGCGGTGGGTTGGTGTGGTGGGGGAGTAATGACATTCATAACAACTTTCCCAATACCAGTGATGGATGTATTTCCAGCTCCAATTTTAGGACTGCATGATGCTGTTGGACGGTTAAACAAATGCAAATGTAGGAAGAATACATCAAAATCCAGTAGAAATTCTTCGTTTCGGTCGCCACGTACGCATGGGTGGCGCATGGGTGGATCACGCTTCTTTGCGGTGCCAGACAAGCAACGGTCTTTTTTTTCTGCTCATATTGCAAGCGCGTGTTACAGCTTCGGGGTCTGTTGCTGCAGTGCAAAACGTTTTGGCGAGCTATATATCAACTTTGGGATGCGCACGATGCCTGGTCGGGTGTGAGCTGTGATGCCGTGCGTCTGGTAGCACGTAGGTACTTGTTTGTGCTTGTTTGCCAGTGCCAGCTTGCTGTTGAGCAAGACTTCGCCCACGCAGTGGCCTTGAGATATCCAAATTTTCTGGGATTCTGCTTGTCCGTTGGGACCGAAACCACAATTTTTAGCCATTCTGGAACCCTTTAAAATCCCTTCCTGATTCCCAAGCTGGCGGCCAAGCCTTCATGTGCAGAAGCTATCTGTCCCAAACCCAGCGAAGACACACATGCGGAGTTTCCAAGCACCAGTTTTTTTAGGCGTCCGTACCCAATAGGGGTAATTCGGGAGCCCCAAATCCTTGTCTTGTGAACCTTTTGAGACTTGTGCTCTTATTAAATTTGCAGCTTTGGAGTCTTGCGGTCGAACGCTCAGCCCCAATGCCAGATTTGCTGCCTTCATTACCCCCCAAAATCGAGAATCAAACAGAGAAAAGCGATGGGACATAACATGGAAACTAGTCTACATAGGGCTTAACCTCAAGCAGAATGACTCAAATGGTGTCCCACTAATAATGAACACCAAGCATTCCCTTGACAGATGCCAGTGTAGTTACTGTACCAGTAAATGTTGAGGGAATTTTCATTAAGGGAGGATTTTTTGTTGGCGGTGCATCATTAGGGTGATGAAGTTCGTGTCACACCTATGTAATCCCAGTTTCTAGTTGGAACTTTGAAGACATCCCGCACCCTAAGCCCGTTGGGTAGGAGGTGCTTCCCCTGTAGAACCCCCAGGCTTTCAGATTCAATCCACATACGAACGACTAGAAGCCTCAAACTGTGTTGCTGCCAAGGAACACAAGCTAAGGTAACATGACAAGGAAGCCATGTAATACACTATATACCAATCCTTTTCTAGATTCTAGGTGAGCTTAAGACCCGTAAATCTCTTTATAACTCCTACATGCGAATGCCCAGCTTCCATTTCATTGTTCATATTCTATTCCATTTGAGTCTTTATCATGGTGACTAAACCTCGAACCCGATCCACATCATGGTACCCAGCAAAGTGGGGCAGAATCTGCAAGGCAAGCCATTTGGAGGGGCCCTGGTGGGGATGCCCACTGCGCAAAGTCATATGGTTGCTTGGAGGCCAAGACCACACACGTAGGGAAGGGGGGGTCTCACTTTTAAGTGGGTGTTTAACTCTGAGGCCAGGGCTTGTTGTCTTTTGAAGGTAGGAGAGTTGCGCTCTCCTCGAAGGTTCAAACACAAATTTTGGGGTTTGGAGGGTTCAGGGCACGTTTTTTGTTGGGGTAAAGGTTCAAAGGTCTCTGGTGGGGTAAAGGTTCAAAGGTCTCTGGTGAAGGTCGTGAAGGAGGGCCTACCCTGATGAGCAAAATGTTTTGAGAGGGATCATGACGGATTCAATTAGGAGCTTTACTCAGGACCTCTATCAACATTTCAAGTTTTTACGGCCTGAACGTTCGTAACCTTGAGTTTGGAGTCCTAAAAACCGTAGTTAAGGCCTTCAGTCCCCATATTCCGTGGTTAGTTTTGAGACGGGCGTGTGCGCATTTAGGGGGCCAAACCCGAAACAGGCACGCAAGCCAAGAGAAGTTTGCTCCTTAGTCTTCAGAACCATAGCCTCCAAAACATGCCCCTCAACCTAACTTCCCATGGCGAGCACCCTTGTTGCCGCACAAGCCCAATAGGGGACCCTAAAATAGACCCTGCAAAATACTACAGTCCTTTATGGGGACCCCCAAAAAGGTACCCCTAACTTACTAATCCCTATAAATCACTATAGAACCCTAGTTTCCATTTCATTTTCCATTTTCTTTTCCAGCTGATGCTCCATTTTGGGGGGTAATATACCGCTAAACCCTAGGAAGACTCCGCATTGAACCCCTAAACCCCATTAATCCCCCAGAACCCCGTTAATAAAGGATAAAACTCCGCATGTTAGACGTGGGCTCACCCGTTTGTTTGGGGAGTGCCGCGGTAAGGTAACCTGAGCACAGAGCTGATTGCTGTAGCCGAAATGATTACAGTAGGGATGATATTTTCTAGGGTTCGGGATGATATAGACTTTGTATAGGTATAGTATGGAGATTATGTAAGGATAATGGAACCCTAAACCCTAAACCCTACTGGAAGCTATTATTAAGAGTTCTCGTTTAGGGTAGTGCTGGGCCCTCAGTCCGCTCGAACCATGCCAAGGCCGTTGCAAAAAGCGTTTAGTACCTGCAGAAATGGAGGATGAAATGGAAAAGAGCATGTAAAATCAAATAGGCCAAATGGGACTTCAAAATGGTATCTGTAATGATTCCCCCCTAGCCTATATAACATGGCTCCATCCCTGTCTAACCTGATTCTCCAACTAGGACTACCCCCGTCCGTAAACCTAAACTTAAGGTCTGAACAATTTGGTAGCTGAACCCTACACCCCCAATCTCTCAACCCTAAACTCTATAAGAGCCAAGGTTGGATGCCTCGCTGGAAGCTCTATTCCCATCCATCTGCGCCTATGCGAGCGAGCAGACCTTTGGAGTTAGTCTATCTGGCGGCGGCGGAAGCTGGGTCGCTGCTAAGGGACCAAGGGGCTTCTTAAGTTACCAGAATACGGATGTATGTACACGAAAGTATAACGTAAACCATGTATGGTTTCTGTAGTTACTTCAAGCTCCTTGTGCAAGCTCCTTAACAGCAACCCAGGACGTTGGAGACGAAGGGAAGATCATCGTAGATGGCCCCAAGGATGCGAAGCGCCTGGTACTGGATATCCTCAGGTACTGCCAAACTGACTTTGATGATGTGCCTATGGTCTCACGCTACGACCTCACGAAGGTGATGGGTGGGCTCTGAAGACAGAATCCCGCCCATGCAAGCTTGCCTCTCTTTAGGTGCGAATGTCATTACAGGCAAGTATCTTGGGATTGTCATAGGATCGGTTTCCTTTTAGCCAGAGGTACAGGAAGCCCAATGCTGTCACATCTGGGGATGCGCGTTGATCTGATTTCATCCGGCGATGCAGCGAGCGGCAAAAGAGCTTGCTTGGTTGAGCCTCCAACGCCCCATATACGCAGCCTGATGGGGCTGTGCGTAGAGACTTGAGCTCCGCTGCAAACATGTTTTGGAGAGTGGTTGAGCAGTGCCCAAGCGCAGAAGTGTATTAGAGCACGCTGCACAGATCTCTAAAGCGTGGTCCCTCCGCCGCCATATATCATCCGTTTCGCTACCCAGAAGAAGCAACTGCACACTTGTCAGCCCTCTCAATTTTGGCCAACCTCCCTACCGCACGTGCAGGTGTCGGAAGGGCCGAGCGCTGATGAGCTGAAAGCACAGCTCGAGGTGGCTCGTGCACGCTTGCATGATTAAATCTCCTGGGCCTTGGTGTGAAGTTGGGACTCGAAACGCTTGTGGTTCAGTGTGGGGGCAAAGGTGTACTGCGGCGCTTGTCATATTTGAGGTTCAATTTTTGGGACCACATGTCTTGAGCTAGTCATCCAATATATCCTGCCTGTCAGGAGCTCGAAATGTGAACATAAAGGCTTCATCAGTCTGATGACGGCTTGTTCTGGTAAGCTGCTGTATCCCTGGCTCCCTCAAGAATCAAGACAATTCTTGCTGCAAGGCTTTGAGCATGGCATGAGCCTGTTTTCAGTCCCTAGCTAGACCAAGGATAGTCCCCATAGTTTGGGTGCTGCCCCCACCCATTTACAGTCGGACAATTTTGTTTCTCCAGTTATATATAGCCCTTAATATTACCCTAAAATAGACTCAGGACCCAAGCCATAGTCCATTTCCCCAAATCCCAGACGCGAAGCCAAAGTCTTTCAGGAAGTGAAGCAGCGCAGCGAGACCCAGCGTCAAGAGATGGAGCAGCAGCAAGAGGAGAGCACGAGGCCTCTAGCATCCTACAGAGACCTACAAACAAACGAAGAGAATTTTATGCGTGCGCAGGTGATCTTAGGTCTTGATTGTGGTTTTGAAGACCTTGCTATGGACCTTGCGAGGCTTACAAAAGATTTGCAAGCCCAGCTGGAAGCTCTTTCGCAGAGTGCCAAAGACAAGCAGCAAGCGGAGGAGGAAGTTTCAAGGCAAGCTGCCAACTAATCAGGTGAGGTTATCAAATGCAGGGTGTGTGTGGCACGCCTAGCACATAGTAGCTGGAATTCCATGGCCCTTTAGTTTCCGTCGGTCCGTTGCAGGATCAATGCTCTCCTACAGTCCGAGAAGGCACAGAGAGAAGAGATCCTCATCAACAAGCAGAAGGCACATTACGGGGTCCAACACCACCCACCACAGCTTAATTAGAGTGGTGTACCATATACACCTGTAATGCCCCTGCTTTTCCTTCACCCATCTGCAGTATGCCATATGCCTTGTGGGAGACTCCAGGCAGATGATGTCATTGAGCAGATGCGAAAGGACCTGCAAGCAATTTGCCCCCGGTTAGGCAGAGGTATATTGAAAAAAAGTAAACCGCGCGCGGCTCCAGCTATTGATATGGTCATTTTCTGCAAGCGTGCCTCCCATCACTACATTTTCGCCTCCCAGCCCATCCCTACATTCCTCCTAAATTCTCTGGGCTGCTCTAAACCAATCCGCAACCCTTACCTGGCTTGGCAGGTTTACGAACTGAAAGGATTGTATGATTGTTGTAGGTTCGGGTTGAATGAAGCTGATGTAACATGACAAGATGGATGCAGGCCCGCCCCCTCGTCCTTTCAAGTTGTACTCCTTTGCTGATTCAGGGATTGTTTCCCCAGATTGGATCGCCGGAGTGCGGATTCAAATATTACAGGCCAGATTATATTACCCTTGCTCCCACCACAAGTGCAACTTGCATTCTGGTGCTGCCGCTGCTTCTCCTCCTCTTCCTCGTACTCCGCTGGTTCCACTTCTGTGACAGTAACCACTTTCATCATCGCAAGGATTATTTACGCCTCTTGCAGGTTACATCTTGTGGGCTGAGCTGCTGCATCCTTGCCCCCGCGCTGGTGTGGATCCAATGCTATTGCCACTTTACATTACAGGTAACATTGACCGCAGCCCAGATGCGTGAAAGGAGGCCTCCGACATCAATAAGACTTCAAGTGAAGAACGAAGCAAGCTTCTCGAAGAGAAGGCTAACCTCGAGGACAAGATGAAGAAAGACTTGGAGGCGCATTCCTTCAGTGGATCCCGTAACCCAGTAATAGTGACTATAAGGCATAATAAGGATTATAGTAGGGTCCTCTTATATTGCTATTATACCACTATTACAGGGTGGGGGTCCTTCTAAGGCATTATTGGTGTGTTCCAAACTGTTTGGGCGATGTTATGCCATGTCCGTGACCTGTTTGGGGCGCATAGGAAATAGTTATCATGGCGCTGCAAGCCCTGACTCAAGAAGCGCTCTGCCGCCACTCCTACCAACAAGCTTCAACAGTGGGTTCAGGGCTTATACTGCAAATGCAAGCGGGAATGCAAAGTGATGCCCTACCCAACCCCAGCAATTGCGACATGCAACAGCGAGCAACCGCAAGCAACCTCAAGCAATAGCAACACCGTAAAACTCCACAAGAAACGACAAATAACAAGATGCAACAGATAACTGCAACAAAATCAGCTTCTGCTACTCTTGCTGCTGCTGCTTACTGCTACTGCTGCCAGCAGCACCCTGACTCCCAAAACCATGTAGAAATTGCCTCCTAAGCCCTGCCACCATTCAGAGCTTGGTTTGGACGAGGATCTGCGTGCAGAGCTCCAGCGAGAAAAAGACAGTGCTCGTGAAGCAAAAGAGGCCTGGGGTGGGGAGGCGATTGGGGTTGCAGGTTTAGGGTAGAGATTTGTTATTGGGGGTGCCTTGACATAAAGCAGGGAATTCCTGTGCTTATTGTGGGCTGCTTCACGACCGGAAGCTGCGAACTACTAGTAGGTCGGCACGATTTGCCTTTGTAGATCAGGGCTTCCGGGCATATGTTATGTTTTTTGCAGCGACCCTTCACAGGAAAGCTCTGAAATTCCAATGACGATTTACGTTTAGGCGAATAGCTAAGTGATCTCTCCCTACTCAGACGTTTAGTTGGCAAAAGGACTCCAAGAGCCCACATTCTCCAGGCCATAAGCTCAATCTGATGGTCTTGTTACGCTCTGTGCGGGGGTTGACGTAAACCTCAGATTGTTGCTGCCACAGTCATTGCATCCGCTACTACGTCACCACCCAGGCCACTGCAATAGGGCAATCAATCGTTCAACCCTAAATGTAGGAGTAGTCTTCATCTTTTCCATTCCCCCATATATTCCATTCCCCTATATTATGTTTATCGCTAGGGGGGTTATGGGGGTTTATTCTTAGCATGATGATCCAGAAGCCCTTGCCATAGTGCACCGAGGCCGAAAAGCGTGAGCTGGAGTCGAAAGAAGCCGGGGCCTCAAAGAGCTCCATTTCACCCCACGCTTGGAGAATATAGGCGGTTATCAAGATTTTGGTCCCGTTTTGGGTACAACAAATATTAGGTGCCGTATTATAATAGGGTTCCAAAATGGGACCATAATTTTGACAACCACCTATATGGGGGGTAGATGGGGTATCTGGGGATTTATGGGGTTTTTGGAGTAGGGTTTTGATAGTAAGCCAACCTACTGTCCACAATAAGCCATATTCCAGCATTATGAGGCCCACAGTCCCTGCAACTGGTACACCCTAAACCCTAAACCCTTGACTTACGAAGTTACGGGAGCCTCCACGCAGTGATTCCAGGGTCTTCTCGGAGATGAGCCCGCATTCCAATCTTAGCCATGCTTCCTGCTGCTCTTTGTGAAGTTAGTCATATGGGCGATTTTCAAAATTTGTATATTGCTGCACCTAATTTGGGGTACCAAAATGGGGCCTTCATTTTGGGAACTCCCGACATGTCAAGATTAGACGTCTCTTGCGCCTGACCCCGGATTGCTGGACCATGTTCACCATCAAGAAAACATGTAGTGTATTTCATGGAACCGAAAAGTCGGAGACCCCGGCACATGCGCAAAGACAAAGCGGAAGTCATCATGTGGGCCATAGTGTAAACTCCTGGTATCCGCCGTAATAACCCCTTATAGTAGTCCCCGATATAGTTCCCTATCTAACCCCCTTTGAGGAGTTTAGACTGTAGCTCATATGGAACAGAAGAGTTTCAAGAGCGCATAAGCTTCAGATGGCTTTGTCATGTGAGCTATTGTCTGAACTCCTTAGGGGATTAGCGGGACTCTACAGGGATCATATAGGGTTTAGGGTCTAAACTCCTTCAAGGGGAGTTATCTAGGGGCAGTGTATAGGGGACTACTATAGGGGTTATTTGGGGGGACATCAGGAGTTTAGACTATAGCTCATGCGGATTGGATGTCTATTCCTTGGGAGGAATATCTCCACTTAAGTGCCCCCTGCCTTGTGCAAACTTCCAGGTAGTCAACAGTCTCTACGATTCTCCTCAGGTAACTGTACATCCTCTCCAAAGGAACCAAATTCCACAATCTACATGCTCTTCTGTAGTCTCCTTAGGAATTATTTTCAATTTTTGTTATAGTAGAACCCTAAGGAATTATCAAAAACGAGTGTTTTCATAACGTATACGTCTAAGGAGACCACAGCTTTTTCCTGTACCTTCAATCCCGGCCACTGGTCACGTTCAACTTTAAGTCCTTTATCACCCGGACTCTACCCTCTCATTATGCTCCGTAGTTCCCCTCAAGTAGATAGAATACGGATTTCCTTAGAACCATTATGAAAGTACCCTATACCCCATATTTTATTTACTTAAGGGGGAGCATATAACTGCTGAGCCAGAATCCAAATCGACATACCCAAAACCCTAAGCCATTTTTAGGCGGCAGAGAAGAGGCTCTCCCAAATGACGGACAGGCCTCCGGAAAATGATTCCATGACACCTTTGAGTCATAGTGACCATAAGGGATAATGGGTTTAGGGTTTGGGGCTAATTGTGACTATAAGGGATACTGGTAGCTATTTTAGGGTCCCTCTTATATTCCTATTATACCACTATTAGGGTGGGGGGTCCACCTTTGAGAGAGTTTACGCTCATTGACTCTGATGTCAAGAATTCGTCCTAATGACAATCGGCAAGATGCTGGAGAGATGGTCTTAAACACATATACAAAATCGGTTCATGCAGTCCTCCATGCCGCAGCATCGGCTAAGATCGCTTCATAGGCGGGGTGTATTTCATGTAGGGTGTTTGCCGAGGGCATTGCCTTCTTGACGAAGCGAAAGAAGCTTTTTACCCAGTGTCATATTTCAGAGCGTTTGTTTACTCTGTTTGCTCCATCCAAGAAATGCCCAATAGGCTTCTCCAAGCTGTGGGTGCCTTTCCCGAATGTTGCGCACATCTACCAAGCTTCTAAAAGATGAAGGGAGTGCGGTTTTCCTCCGAAATGTTGATGTATTTACCACAACCGCGGAGAGGACGAAGACCTCATGGTGATTCGTAACAAGTGGTGTGCTAGGGTGGCGTATTTCTCAAGCAGAATGGCCCTTGCAATATAGACTTAGTATTGAGACATCCCAGGATTTCAGAACACCCTGTCATGCTGAGATGCAACTGTCACTGTTGTTATGAACACTACGATTACTATTATTATTCCCATTATTCCTAGTACTATCCTGTCAAGGATTATTACCGTCACCATTTTTGCTGCTATGTTTTGCAGCCAGGTTTGCCAGTGAGCGGGCCAGCCTGGAGGAGCATGCTCTGTATATTGGGGTTAGATTCGGGTATTATAGGGATAATGGAAAAGAAAATGGAAACTACTATAGTTATTTTAGCAGGGTTGAGGGTTTAGGCTAAGGAGTTGAGTGAACTCGGCAAAATCAAAGAGGCAGAGAGGGGATCAATGTCTTACTGGTGGTCAGTATAGAATAATTGAATACAACCCCTACATAATCTCCCTTAAACCTTAAACCCCAAACCCTAAACCCTAAACCCTCCCTTATTCCACTAACCCCCAGTAAGTTGCTCAATGCGTCCAATCCTTCACTCCAGCTCAAGCCTTACCATGCTGCAGCACGAAGCATTGTCCCAAGAAAGAGTTCTTCCTAAGGCAAAGGGTTTAGGGTTATGGGTTAAGGGTTTAGGGTTTAGGGTTTTGGGGTTCCTCCTAAGAGGTTTAGGTTAGGAGGACCCCCCCACCCTGTAATAGTGGTATAATAGGACTATCAGGGGATCCTAATATAATTACTAGTATCCCTTATAGTCACTATTACAGGGTGGGGGGGGTCCTCCTCAGGTTTAGGGTTTCGGGGTTCTGGCTCGGTACCAATAACTTCTTGGTATAGGAGTTGTATTTAGCTGCTTGAAGTTGTTCATTTGGCTTGCAGCTTTAGGCTGCGCGTTTCAGAGAAAAAGGCCATTATGCCCTTGAGGCTCCTATGACAACAGGAGAGCCCCCCCCCCAAATTTGTGTATTAGAGGCCCTTGCCTTAAACCGAGTACGACGTGCGTCACGTCTCAGTTAGTTAGCGCGTTTCTGTGGGCAAGTGCAAGTCAGCTTTGGACGAACATGGCGAGCTCATCTGGCAGCCGGATTGCTACAGTATGGGGGTATCTGATTACAGGCAATCTCTGGACATGCATTCATCGGGGCAGGTCTCGATTCTTGAGGGCGCAGATGCGAGTTCCCATGATTGGCTGGTTCAGTGGACCTTCAAGTGCTCTCTATGATTGTCCCGTCTTCGCGTGCAAAGGCCTTAAGCTCATTTTCTGGGGTCCCAGCACAAATTCGGCATAACTCGACGTCACCTATCGGGAGCGTAATGTTTACAAGAAGCACCATGTAAGAAATGTAGTAGCTTTGGTGTAGTAGTTTTGAGACATAGGACCACACTCTCAACGGACCGCCCTTTTTTCAGAAGCTAATGTAGACCCCCGATTAATAGACCCCCCCCTTTAATAGGGATTATAATAGGATCCTAATATTTAGGCCCTTTAAAAGGATCAGATTTATCAATCATGGGTCTACATTACCATGCCTGAGGAGTCAGCGCGGGAGCTGAAGACTAAAGCCCAGAGCACAGCTGAAAATCTGGAGAAAACGCAGGCCCCTCATGAAAACTTAGTAAGTAGGCTAATAACTAGGATAACTAGGGATACTATATGGGTTATAGGGATTATTAACCTACTTACTAAGTAAATCTTTCAGCAAGGGCCCTATGCTTACATATATGATCACGTATGATCATCTATGTATGTATACATATTACATACTTCAGAATTGTCATCACATATGTAAACACACATATATTTGTGTTTGCATGCAGAATTTTTTGGGCAGTTTTTCACATCAGGGGGTGGGGGGTTGTTGAATATTGGCGGGAAGGTCTGGATTGGCTTCAAGCTTAAGGACGAATGCTTCGGACCTTAGGGTTATCGTGAATTGCACCGCCAGTGAAAGCATTTCAGCTAGGAGCGAGTGCGGCTATAAATGAGTAGACTGCTTGGAGGTTCAAGGGGGCTTAGTAAGTAAGGTAATAACAGGGAGAACTAGCCTTACCATGGATGATAGGGGTTATTAACTTGCGTACTAGGTTCCTGTGACTCTCCAAAGGGGAAACCACAACAAGGGTCAACATCGTAAAGACGGAAGGTCCTTGGCAGAAAAATCCTGGGTCAGGGGGTCTGTACAATTATCCTCAACCCTAAACCATCCGAGGGCGCTCATGCCAGAAAGGTTGTTATGGTAGTTTCCCTAAACAGGGGGACCCCAAAATGGACGCCAAAATACTATAGTCCTTACTATGGATACCCC